GCTGGTCGAAGCAGATGGCCGCTTGTCCAGAGCCTGGTTCTGCTGGAGGATTCTTCCTCATGAGGGAGTTTTTCCTTTCCACTGTTGCCTCTGTGCTCACTTTTTTTTTTTTTTTTTTTTTTTTTTATTAATAACACACAGAACTACAAAACACTACAAAAGAGAAAGATATATACAAACACTCGTGAAGGGTGTCAGAACTACAGTTTACAAGCTAGGGGGGTTACAAAATGATAAAAATTGAGTAATACATATATAAAAAACATTAAATGAAAAGAATAAACATAAGAAACAAAAAGGAGCAAAACAATATGAGAAACTTAAAACAACAAGTTTTTTGATATCTGTTGTGAAATGGTTCTAGCAGTTTTCCAGTTTTTTAATCTACTTATTGAAGAATAGTACAACTTGAATTCGTTCATAAAACACGGGAAGGAGGGCTGATTGTCCCTCCACTTACTACAATGAATGTGATACTTTGCTATAAGGATGACTATATTTATAGCATCGGAGTAAGCTGAGCTTAAATTATCCATGTAAAATAAAATGGCATCAGCATCAAAGGGAGGAATGTTCAGTTTTAGATTAATCCAGTTTGTAATGTCAGTCCAGAAACTTTGTGAGTATTGACATGAAAAAAACAAATGTTCAAGGGATTCATCTTCAGATTTACAGAAGGTACACAAATCCACCTCAAATTTAAATCTTCTGTGCAGAAGCATGGCTACTGGATAGATCTTATTTATTATTTTAAAATGGTTTTCTTTCACTTTAGGAGATATAGGCCATTTGACAAATTTTGAATGAGCAGAAGTCATTATGGTTTTATGATTTATATTGGGAGGTTTCTTGAATGAATCTTTGTTGTAATCATAGGAAATCGTTTGTCGCATGCATTCATTGATCATCTTGTTATTACATTTGAGATCAACTAAACTACAGTCATTTAGTTTTAATGTGGGCATGGAAACGGTCACCTTTGAATACATAATGATATTTTTAATTAACTGAATCAAGGCTAAAGGGATTGCTTTACATACCTTCATAAAATCTTTATGGCAGCAGCTAAGGTTATATTTTCTAACAAAAGATGAGAAATTTAAAAGATCTCCATTACAATCCAAGATGTCTGTTACAAAAATGATGCCTTTTTCATACCAGTCTTTTCTAAATATTGACTTTCTGCCCACTGTGATTGCTCTATTATTCCACAAAGTTGATCCATGAGGTGAGAAATTATGGTGAAATATCATTTTCCAGAACTGAAGAACTTGTTTGTGGAAGTTTGATAGTTTAACTGGAATCTTTGTCACTTCGAAGTCACACCTTGCAAGGAAGTCAATTCCTCCCAGCTGCTTAAAAATGGAGGCAGGGATGTGAAACCACATTGAATTTTGTTGTTGTAAAAAGGTTTTTAACCATTTAGTCCTAAATGTTCCAACCATTGCTTCAAAGTCTAGTGCATTGATACCACCATGCTCATGTTTTTTAACTAGTTGGGACCTTTTAACATAATGAGTCTTATTTTTCCACAAAAACTGAATAAAAAGATAATAGAGTTGGCTTTTCTTATGTTTTGTGGTGATATATACATAGAATGACATGGATAAACAGCCTTGGAAATGCCATCTGCTTTAGTCAACAGGTTCCTTCCAAAAATAGTCAGATCTCTTGTCAACCAACGGCTGAGACTTTGTTTCATACCCACTAAGCGGTTTGAGATGTTCTCATCTTCCCTTCTAACTGCGTTTTTAGATACTAGTACACCCAAATATTTAACTTCATGTACGCCTCTGTGCTCACTTGGGATGGGAGACTGCGACAAAGTGAAAACTCAAAGCAATCTGTTGTCTCTTTAGATAAAGAATGTTATTAACTGACTTTATATGCATCTATGTATGAATTGTACAGTGTCCTGAGATGACTTCTGTTGTGATTTGGCATTATATAAACAAACTGAATTGAACTTAACACAGGACCTCCAAAGCTCCTGCTGCCTACAGACCTCCTCAGGAACAGCTGCAGCATCCTCTCGCAGCAGGAAGTTGTTCTTTCTCACCAAGTGTACAACTTCATGCTGCTTTAATTTGGAAACCTTAAGGATACATTTAACTGCATATAACAACCAAAAGGCTGAAGTTAATAGGATCTGCAGCGTACTGAAATGTGAGGATATTGTAAACACACCCACAGCATTTGCTTTGCATAATGGCCATAAATTAGGCTGCTTATTTAACTCAGCACAGCAATCTACACATTGACAGCGGTGATAAATATAAAAACTAAACGCCTGCCATCTCTTGAAGAAATGCATATCACCTGCAGCCTTTCATGCCAGAGTGTTAAACTGAAAAGATTGTATGTTCAGAGTATGTGTTGAGAATGACTCTCAGATTAATTCAGCCTAATTCAGCAAAAATGTGCGCTCTCCACTTCCTTATGGTAATTTAAGCTTTTTTTCTGATGTTTTTAGCTGCATTTCAGCTTGTTTTTTTGTTGACAATTTCAGCTTATTTCAGATAATTTCCACTTATTTGTTCTCATTTATGCTTCTTTCAACATAATTGGGCAAACGTGTTCTTTCTGATTTTTTCTGCTAATTTAAGCTTTTCTACCTTTTCAGCATTTTTAGCTAATTTCAACTGTTTTCAGATAGATTCAAAATTTTCATGGTAATTGTTGCTACTTTAAGCCTAATTAACTTCTTTATGTAATTTCAGCTTGTTATGCTACTTTCAGCCTTTTTCTGCTCTTTCAGATACTATTCAGCAGTTTTTTTTTGCTAATTTTAGCCTTTTCAGCTAATTCCACTTTTTTTAAAGCTATTTTAAATTCCCTCCACTTCCTTCCGGTAGTTTAAACTTCTTTTAGCCTTTTTAGCTACTTTTCAGCTTTTATTGTTGCTAATTTCATCTTTTATATTTGCTAATTTTTCAGCTTTTAGTTGTTGCTAATTTCATCTTTTATAGTTGCTAATTTCAGCTTTTATATTTGCTAATTTTTCAGCTTTTATAGTTGCTAATTTCAGCTTTTATAGTTGCTAATTTCAGCTTTTATATTTGCTAATTTTTCAGCTTTTATAGTTGCTAATTTCAGCTTTTATAGTTGCAAATTTCAGCTTTTATAGTTGCTAATTTCAGCTTTTATATTTGCTAATTTTTCAGCTTTTATAGTTGCTAATTTCATCTTTTATAGTTGCTAATTTCAGCTTTTATAGTTGCTAATTTCAGCTTTTATAGTTGCTAATTTCATCTTTTATAGTTGCTAATTTCAGCTTTTATTGTTGCTAATTTCAGCTTTTATTGGCTAATTTCCTAATCTGCTAATTTATATCTAATTCAGCAAAAATGTGTTCTTTCTACTTTCTTCTGCTAATTAAGTCTCGTTCTTTCATTTCAGCTGCAATTCAGCATGTTTTTTTAAGCTAATTTAAGTTGGTTTTCAGCAAGTTCTTCAGCAATAAACATTCACACTGCATTTTCACTGGAAATGCAATTATTTCTCGTTTCTTTTTTTATTTCTGGCCAGTGTGTTGGAGATGTGTTTCTCTTTTCTTTTCAGGGATGTTTGTTCGTTTAATCGAAACTGAGGGCTAAAAAATGACTTGACATGCTCTGAGCCCATATAATCTCTTGTTGGCAACTCCACCGTGTACAGTAGTGGTATCATTTTCAGTCTTTCTACTTCCCAGCGTGTAATTCAAAGTATTGTAGTAGTATTTGTAGTATTTGTGCATATGTTGGGTATGTATAGCTTGCTCACTGAATGAATCGCAGCTCACTCCACCCTTCAAAAGTTGTGGTTCTGGTTTGCTCCAAGGACCTTGTGCTGGCATGTTTAAAGTGTGTGTATGTGTGTGTGTGCGTGTGTGTGTGTGTGGGTGTGTGTGTGTGTATGCGTGCATACGCGTATGCGTTTGGTTCTAGCAGCATTTGGCTTAGAGTTCAATAGTGTTCTGTAGATGTTTGCTTTCAGGCTATTGTTTCCCTCGTTGTTTCATGTTAAAACATCTATTGTAAATGAGGGATGAATAGCCTGTTTCATGGGAATATTTCAGGCTAAAGGTGGGATCTCACTGGCTGCAAGTAGTTGGTAAACAATTGCAATTTTCTACGCATGAGTCGCAAAGTGTTGCAGCCTTGTTGCTTGAGTTTTGAACAAGTTAAAAAAACTTGTGTGATAACCTTTCTCTCAAAATAGTCACAGAGTCATCCCAGTTCACCCGAATTGTGTAATGGTTGTTGTCTCCAATCTGTCTCAAGAGAGGCTGGGCTGTATTTTGATGCCTGCAAAGAGTTTTCCTCTGATGGCAAACATCTGAGACAAGTGTAGGTTTAAAAACTACACTCGTGATAATTTTTTTTCTTTCGGCTGCTCCCTTCTTCAGGGGTCACCACAGCAAACTAAGTCGCATGAAGACGTGGCAATTATTTTTACACCAGATGTCCTTCCTGACACAACCACAGACCACCGAGCTACCACAAGCGCTATGTGGAGCAGAGAGCTGCTATCTAGGGCACCCAGAGGAGCAGATGGTGGGGGTTAAGGGCCTTGCTCAAGGGCCCAGCGTGGGGTAAATGAGGGTGGAGAGACTGGTGTAGGTGTTTCACATTTCCCACCCACGTTTTGATGTTGTCGACATGGGGAGTTGAACCGCTGACTTTCTGATCACAAGTCCAGCTTCTCTAACCTCTGCGCCACCACTCTCCTACTCATGATAAATAATAATGGTCCAAATCTGCCTATCTTTATTTTAAAACTGCACTCAAGCAGATTAAATCATAAACAACAGCCAAGGTGGAAACAAAACCCAGACAGGTGGGTTTGAAGAGTGAGGAGGTGGGTAACAAAATAATGGGCATGGCCAAAAGTTGCAAAACGCTGCCACATAGCTCACTGGCCACTTGGTTGCAAAGACTCTAAGTTGAGTGAGTCTGCAGCAGAAAATTTGTGTGAGGTACCTCTTTAACTGTTAGAAAATATACAAAAACAAAACTTACAGTTTGGCTCATAAGGAGGTGGAGGATTCCCACATGGTATGCACTCCATGTCTTGAAATCCACTTAATTTCGTTTTCCTGTAATATCTGTTAAGACATATGATTATGTGTTTATAAGAAATATTTGTACCAGTTAAATTTAAGAGCATTGATCTGCCGTCTTACCCTGGCAGACAGTCGCCGCACACTGCGTTACTGGTGGTGGAGCAGTTGGCCTTCTGGAATCGGTTGATGAGTCCACAGTCCAAACAGGGCTTGCACTTCTGCAGGCTGCGGTCCTCTTTGAAACGACTGCTACGGCAGGGCACGCACCAGGCATCTTCTCCATAACCAAAGCCACATTCCTGGAGGGATTAACAGGAAAAACACACTGAGCGAGGTGGGGTTGGATGGTTTGGTGGAGATGCACAGATGGAGAAAAGAGAGGGCTTGAATGTGAACTATTGGGGGTCTTGGAATTAAAGAGTGATGTTGGCTCCTGGCATCAGAAGCAAACAATAGCCTCTTTCTTTTGAGAGTTCATCTTACACTGTCAATAATCTCCCTGACTCCCTCCGTATGAATGAATTGCCTTCCATTGCAAGACCCCAGGAAGGCTATGCATTTGAATGATAAAGCGTCCAGGGGACACCCACTGTTGTATTATTGAAGGTTTATTGCTGCTTTTTTGAGCTACTCCCACTTCAAACAAACGCAGTGAGCTTCCTGTTGATTGAGAGGCCAGCAAGAAAAGGAAACTCTTCAGGAGAAGGGCACAGATTGTGGGGGAGGAGATGGAGAAAACCCGATGAATACTATTTAGTGCTCAACACTTAAAAAGCCCAACTTCCTGTAGATATGGGAGCGCTCTAATGCTCCTTTTCAATTAATGCTATGCCCACCTTTAAACTCTAATTTATTGTTAGGAAATGAGACAGCAAGGCCTTAGATGGTGAGTGAATAAAATTAAAGGCCTAGCTTTCCTTGGAGAAATGCACATTTCATTTAATCTCTTTCTTTTAAACTGAGGTCCTTTTATGCTAAAATGTTGGTGTTTTAGCCCAATTTGAAAATAACGTTGACATATTCTCGTGTAAAATTGGGACCACAGTATCATACAATCCCTTAAGTTTTGGGAGTATGTGTTGGGGATGGCTCTCAGCTAATACCACATCAAATCTTTACTCAATATATGTGAAATTGACAGCCATAGCCATTTTTCTACGGTTTTCCGGTTGTGGCGTCTATACTAATTGGGTTGACTTCAAAAGTTAATTAGTTATAGATGGGACTTCTGCATATACTTTCTAAAAGTTGAATAAAACCCATTATGTGTTCTAAAGACAGGGGAAGTGGTAGTGCAGTGGTTAGAAAAGGCAAGCCAGTGATCGGAGTGTCACCAGTTGAATCCCCCTACTGGTGGCAAGCCAGTGATCGGAGTGTCACCAGTTGAATCCCCCTACTGGTACATCAAAATGTGGGTGGGAAAAGTGAAGCACCCAGACCTGCTTCTACCCTAATTTATCCCACTCCATGCCCTTGAACAAGGCCCTTATGCTTTCCCTGATGCCCTAAAAGGCAGCCTTCTGCTCCACACATGTGGGCTGCGGTAGTTCGGTGGTCTGTGGTTGTGTCAGAAAGGGCATTCGGCATTAAACAATTGCAAAATCTTTGTTGCTTGTTGTTGTGGCAACGCCTGACAAAAAAAAAAAAAAAAGCAGACAAAAGGAGAAAAAAATATATATTTATATGTGATAATCTCATGACTTATGCTTTAGTCTAATCTTCTTCTTTCTTCTTCTGGCTTTTCCCTCTTCAGGGGTCTCCACAGCAAGTTATCCTCCTCCATCTCACTCTGTCTTCTGCATCTTCTGTCCTCACTCCAACTACCTCCATGTCCTCTCTAACTGCATCCATATATCTCCTCTGTCTTTTTCCTGGCAGCTGCATTTCTAACATCCATTTACCAATATACCCACTGTACCTCCTCTTGACATGTCAAAACCATCTCAATCTAGCCTCTCTAACTTTAGCTCCCAGTTATTGAGCCTGTGCTGTACCTCTAATAATCTCATTCCTAATCTTATCCATCCTTGTCACTCCTAAAGAGAACCTTAACATATTAATTTCTGCCACTTCCAGTTCTTTCTCCTGTCTTTTTGTCAATGCCATTGTCTCCAGACCATGCAACATAGCTGGTCTCACCACCGTCTTGTAAACTTTTTCTTTGACCTTTGCTGACACCCTTTTGTCACAAATAACTAATGAAACTTTTCTCCATCGTTCCATCTTTCCTGGACTCTCTTTTTCACTTCTTTACCACATTCTCCATTTTCCTGGACAGTAGGTCCTAATTACTAGAAGCCATGCACCTTTCTGACCTCTGCTCCTTGTAGCCTCGCTGCTCCACCAGCCCCCCTCTCATTCACACACATGTACTCTTGTCATACTATGGCCGACTTTCATTTCTCTTTTGTCAAGTGCATACCTCCACCTCTCCAAGTTCTCTTCCACATGTTCCCTGTTCTCATCACAGATCACAATGTCATCTGCAAACAACATTGTCCTTGGGGATTCCTGCCTGACCTCATCTGTTAGTCGGTCCATCACCAGAGCAAACAAGAAGGGGCTCAGAACTGATCCTTGATGTAATCCCACCTCCACCTTGAAGCTATCTGTCACTCCTACAGCACATCTCACCACTGTCCTGCTGTCCTCATACCTGTACCAGTCTAACATACTTCTCTGCCACTCCAGATTTCCTCATGCAATACCACACCTCCTCTCTTGGCACTCTGTCATATGCTTTTTCTAAATCCACAAAGACACAATGGAGTTCTTTCTGACCCTCTCTGTACTTCTTTATCAGCATCCTGAAAGCAAATATGGCATCTGTTGTGCTCTTTCTTGGCGTGAAACCATACTGCTGCTCATAGATAGTCACCTCTCATCTAAGTCTTGCGTCCACAATTCTCTCTCCCAGATCTTCATTGTGTGACTCATCAACTTCATTCCCTGTAGTTGCTACAACTCTGTACATCACCCTTGTTCTTAAAAATGGGCACCAGCACACTCTTCTCCATTCCTCAGGCATTTTCTCACCCTCAAATATGCCATTGCATATTTGAGTCAAAAACCTAACTGCCATCTCTCCAAGAATTTTCCAAACCTCCCCTGGTATGTCATCAGGTTCTACTGTCTTTCCCTTTTTCATTCTTTTCAGGACTTTCCAGACTTCACCCTCACTAATCTTTCCCACTTCCTGGTCCACAGTTTCTATGACTTCTACTCTTCTTTCTCTTTCATTCTCTGTATTCATTAGCTCCTCAAAGTACTCCTTCGATCTTCCCATCACACTCTCCTCACTTGTTAGTTAGAACATTACCATTCCTATCTTTAATAAGCCTAACCTGCTGCACATCCTTTCCAACCTGATCCCTCTGTCTCGCCAATCGGTACAAGTCCTTCTCACCCTCTTTAGTGTCCAGCCTCCCATACAACTCATCATATGCCTTCTGCTTAGCCTTTGTCACCTCTCTGTTTGCTCTACATTTCATCTCCTTATATTCTTGTCTCCTCTCTTCAGTCCTCTCACTGTCATATTTCTTCTTGGCTAACCTCTTTCTTTGAATGGCTTCCTGCATATCATTATTCCACCACCAGGTTTCCTTATCATCCATTCTCTGTCCAGATGACACACCAAGTACCTTCTTACCGGTCTCTCTAATTACAGTTGCTATAGTAACCCAGTCATTTCCATTCTCTTGGCAAATTCCAATGCCATCTGTCCTCCCTCGTTTCTTTCCTTGACACCAAACTTACCCATCATTTCCTCATCTCCTCTGTTTCCTTCATCAACATGTCCATGCAAGTCTGCTCCTATCACCACTCTCTCCTCCCTGAGAATATTTTCCATCACTTCATCCAGGTCCTTCCAAAATATTTCGTTCTCATCCACATCACATCCAACCTGTGGAGCATAACCACTGACAATATTTAGCGTCAGATCTTCTACTTCTACACATCACCATATCTGACACTCTTTTTGCCTCTACTACATTCTTTACCAACTCCTCTTTCGGGACCACCCCTACTCCATTTCTCTTTCTATCCACACCATGGTAAAACAGTTTGAACCCTGCTCCAATGCTGCGAGCCTTGCTGCCCTTCCACTTGGTCTCTTGGACACATAAAACATCTACCTTCTTTCTCTGCATCATGTCAGCCAGCTGCCAGTTGCCTGTCATTGTCTCCACATTTAGAGTTGCCACTCTCAGTCCTACATTTTGGACTTTCCTCTTCTCCCTCTGTCTCCTGACATGTTTCCCTCCTCATGGACTTCGATTAACAGTAGCACAATTTTCACCAGCACCCTGTTTATTTTTAACCCAGGTCTCGAACAATCCATTATGGTTTCACTTTGATGACCTAGCATTATAGTTTTGGCAAGTGTTTTATGTTGGACGCCCTTCCTAGCACAACCCTCACCATTTTGGGCTTGGGACCAGCACAAGAGATACACTAGTTTGTGCTCCATAGGGGCTGGTTTCAAGTTTTAGTTTAAACTTTTTTTTGGTTGTTTTAGTCTAATGTATCATTAATATTATTATTTTGGTTTTCATTTGACTCTCTAAAACCCTGTTAAAAGAACTTGAGCTTGATAATATGTGTGCTGCTATTGTTCGGCGTATTGTTTTGCACTATTAGTGTTTAGCGTATTTCTCAGTTTATATCTTAGATCCTTATTACTGTTTCTTTTACAATTTATATTTTTGCTATTGTTCGATGTAACTGGGACCCTGTGTACACAATTTTGTTCCACCTCATGTACCACGTGATGCGAATGATAATAAAGAACCTTGAACCTTGATAATATGTGGTAGTTGATGTTTCTGTGTGTCGCACAAAAAAAAGACCCTGTGGGGGTGACATCATACTCTGTTTATCATCTTCTCCATGGAGGCTGAGCTTCAGTAAAGCAGCTCTGCCACGCTGCAGTCTTAATCCTGGAGGACAGGTGGGAGCAGGGAGCTCATTTTTCATTAAAGAGAAGGTCAGCTTCAAACAAGACTTCTCTCATCTCCCCTCTCTTTGCCCGTGTCCTGTTTCACGTCCTTGGCACACGGTCCGGCTGGAATGTGAGCAGAAGATCATGATACGGGGGAAGGAGGCATATCTGGCTTTAGGAGAAATGAAAAGGAAGATTGGAAGCAATTAGGGATCCTGTGATGGCACCGCAAAGAAGTTGAGGAATTTGGTCGGTCCAGCCAAACACATGTGTGTCTGACACTGAACCCTCGGGCTACCCCTGGCCAGGTGGCCCAGCTGGAGTTGTTGCAGCTGCTCCCACAAACTCATCAAATAA